TGTGGAACCACCAGGAACAACCGGTCGCTATGACATGCACTGAACACCAGGGGGCAGATGCTCAATGCAGGAGCTGCCCCCTGGTGATCAGTGCGCTTCCACAGGGAGGGCGCTGCTCAGCCAGAAGCTGGCTCATGGCTGGCCAGCGCAGCGGTGGTGACAGTAGCCTCTTTCTTAGTGTGGCAGCACTAAGAATGTCCTACTAACGGCTTAGGCCCACTCCCTGAGACGGTCGGACATCCCCCGAGGAGTCCTGGACTGCGAGAGGGTACAGGCCGGCCTGAGGAAACACCTCCCCCCGGCCCAGTACACGAATTTTCATGCACCCAGCCTCTAGTTTAATTCATAAATTCCATAAACATTTGTTATATGTGGCAGGAGTGCACAAGACTCTATAATCCTGCCAAAACCAGTTTGGCTCAGTGGCTAGAGCATCGGCCTGCGGACTGAAGGGTCCCGAGTTCGATTCTGGTCAAGGGCATGTACCTGGGTTGCGGGCATTTCCCCAGTGGGGGATGTGCAGGAAGCAGCTGATCAATGTTCTCTCTCATTGATGTTTCTGGCTCTCTATCTCTCTCCCTTCCTCTCTGTAAAAAAATCAATAAAATATATTTTAAAATTTTTTTTAAAAAGACTCTATAATCCAAAATGAAAGACTTCGACCACTCACAGTTGGTTGGCTTTGCTGTGCAGTGGGGTGAGCACTGGGACCAGCGTGTGTAGAGGCATGGCTTTCACCTCCAGGCTCCCAGAGGTGATGCTCTGTGCGCAGGCCGGCGTGGCTCCGTGGTTGAGTGTTGACCTATGAACCAGGAGGTCACAGTTGATTCCCAGTCAGGGCACATGCCTGGGTTGTGGGACCGATCCCATCAATGATTCGCTCTCATCATTGATGTTTCTATATCTCTGTCTTTCTCCCTTCCTCTCTGAAATCAATAAATATATATTTTTTAAAAGAGGATCAGGAGGACCAGGGGAGGGGCCCGATGGCGATTCCAAGCCAATGGAGTGACAGGGGCAGGTGCTGGAGGTGAGTGAGCACAGCGTTCAGGGAAGTGTAAAGGCGTAAGCACATGAGAGCAACGTGTGATGCGTTAAGTCAGGGCAGGGAGGTGGGGTTGGCCTGGAGGAGGCCAGATCACACAGGACTTAGTGATATGCTAAAGCGATTGGATTTTATCCTGAAGGTGATGGGAAGCAAATGAAGAATTTCAACTAGCAAAGACACGATTAAATTGGCATTTTAGAAATAGTGACAGCATGGTGGATGGGTTGGAGGAGAGAGCTGGTGGGGAGAACATGCATAGGCTACTGTAGAAATAAGTGGGCGTGATGAGGCCTGGACTCAGATAAGAGGCAGTGGGCACCTGCGGGGGGAGATGGGAATGACGGGGTGGGGGGTGGGGGTGGGAGAGGAAGCAGACCCTGTCTACATCTCACCTCAGCCCCATCTCCCCAAAGTCTCCCGCCCTCCCTGCAGGAGACCTGTCTGTGGTGCCACCGTGTCTACTTCTCTGTGTCTGGCTTCTTGAACTTCTCAGGTTGAACCCTCTGCCTGAACTGGCCGCTCCTCCTTTCCTTATGAAGATCAGCTCGGCCTCACTCCTCCAGGCGTCCTCCCTGCCTCCTCCTCGCACCCTGCCAGGCGGGCCTCAGTGACCGCCATGCTCCTGACACCTGCCGAAGCGGTCCCGGCCCCAGCATGTTTAAACTCCTTGAGGACCCAGAGCACCTTCTTCTTTTTCTTTCTTTTTTTTCTTTTTTGACGGTCACACATCTGCCTTTATCGTGAGCAGCAGGCGGGACATTCCAGCAACAGCACAAAAATTAACCTACAGACGCCAGGCCGCGCAGCTGCCTGGTTGGAACCCGTGGGAGCCCATACACAGGTGCCGACCCCGAACAGCAGGAGACCTGAGCTCCTCGCAGCTCACCAGCTAGTGGCACCCATTCTCCCCAGACCCTCCG